GATGCAGCCCCAAATGTTTCCCAGGGCTAAATTAGTAAATAATAGCAGAGGGAGAAAGCAATTAGGAGAGCAGAGAGATGCTTCAGGATGGAGATCTGGAACGAGGGAATTGGAACGAGAGATTGCAGGCCCTCTCACTCTGGGAGGTAGAATCGGGTAAGGGATGAGCCTGGTGACTGGACAGATGAACTGGAGGAGCAAGGGAGATGAGTCCTCAGAGAAGGAGAGTGGAGGATCTAGGTGAAAGGCCTGGGCAGATAGATGGCCAGGAGTCTGCAAAAGAGGGGCATCTGGTGATGGATGGAGGACCCGAAGGAGACTGCCCTGGGGGTGTGGATGTTCGAGGCTTAGGAGGTGTCAGCTCAGGTCAGCCCAGACTGTATTATAAAGGCCTGTGAAATGCAGAGCCTACCGGGGACAGGTCACCTTTGCCACCCTCTGAAGCCTCTATGTTGGTGCAGATGAGATGAGAACCATGCTGATTTTCCTTCCACCTGCTCCCTGCCCCCAGTGTCCCCAGATGGAGTTTGATTATTAGAAGCACTTGAAGAATCTTGAAAAGTCCCCAGAGTTAAAGATGCCAAAGAATATTGCAAACAAGCACACACTGATCTCTCAGAATCAGAGCAACAGCCAAGGAAATGTATCCCAGAGGGAGTGGGAATAGTAACAACCATGTGGCAGGAACAAGCTGGGGCTGGGCAGGAGGGTGGGAGAAGGGTGCAGCAAACTTCCTATTTAAGTGAGCAGTGGCAATGGTCTCTCAGGGATCAGTGCTTCTTCCTCTCCTGAGGGGGAGAGGCCTCTCTGGTGCAACAGCACCCCCAAAAGGTGGAGGATCCCAGGGCCTCCATACTGGTTAGGGTGCTCTCAGCTTCCAGTAGCAGAAGCTCCAGTTAAAATGTCTTGTACAGAAAGGCAATGTGGTGTCACCTGGCATAGCAAGACTCCAGAGTGATGTGACTGGAGGTCCAGGTTCTTCTCATCTCTGCTAGGTCACCCTTGGTGTCAACTTAATGCTCACACTATAGCCAAGATGGCTGCAGCAGTTATAGCTACTACATCCAGACACAGCAATGTCTGCAGGAGGAGGAAGGAGACAATGAGCTCCTTAGAAGCAAACCTGTCAATTCAGTCCTCAGCTCAGTCTCATTGGTTAGAATGGGGTCACTAGTCCTGAGTTGCATATTGGCAACTCTTGGACCCCCTCAGGCTCACCTGGGGCCTAAAGCCACTGACACCATGGGAGAGGAGAGGGCACCTAAACAAAATGGGAGGAAGAGGGACAATGGGTGCTAGGTAAGTGGCAATGGCTAAGTGTATCCTCAACTGAGCTGACATAGGACAACCAACCAGTGGGGCCAGGAGGGAAACTGGGGATGCCCCCAAACTACAGCATTAGAGGAGCCTGCTGTAGTCCTCTCTACCCACAAGCCTTTTGTTTCTGTCTATAACTGTTTTATTCTTTTTTAAGCAAGCATATATTAATTGTACAAAATAATGGGTTTCATTATGATATTTTCATCCATGTATATAATGTACTTTGATCATATTCTCCCCCCATTACCCTCTCTTTCCCCATGCAAGTCCCCTTCTTCTTCCCAAAAGGCTTCCTTCTACTTTCATTTGTTTTTCTTAAAAATCTAGATTCCACATATGAGAGAAAACATACGGTATTTGTCTTTATGAGTCTGGCTTATTTCACTTAACATGATGATCTCCAGTTCCATTCATTTTCCTGCACATACCATAATTTCATTCTTGTTTATGGCCTCCAGCCCTCCTCCCTTCAGACCTCTCTGGCCTCAGCCCTTCCTGCCCCTAGCCTGTTCTGCCACCAGCTCTCCTCCTCACCAGCCCTCCCCCCACCAGTCCTCCCTGCCCCCAGCCCTCCTTGGCCACAGTGTCCCACATTCCCATCTACTATTGAGCAGGTAACCATGTCCTAAAAGATTACTCCTTGTTGTCCTAGGAGTCTAGGCACAGGAATAAGTCTGAGAGCAAAAATAACATGGGCTTCTTAAGGTGGAAAGATAGCTGCAGAAATGGGAGAACACCACACCGGACCAGAGGGTGCTAGAGCCAGTGCTGGCCCTGCACTGTCTTCCTGTGTGACCTTGGGCAAGAGGAGAACTCCTTGAGTTTATTTTATTCACTTGTAAGACTAGCTAAATTCAAGGATTCTTTCCAACTGAAAACACTATGATTTGGGGAAATCTTAAAATGAAGAGATTAACTGAGAGGCAAGGGGAAGGTTGTATGGAAATTTGTTTACAGTGTCATTTAAATAGCCCAGCTGAAGGATGGAGAAGCCAACAGTAGTAGGGTTGATGGTGGTCTAAGCTGGAAAGGGAGCATCTGTAGAATCCACCATTTCCATATGTCCTTTTGGCAAGGAAGTGCAAGCAGCCAATTAATAAAAAAGCCACATGTGCTCAGGGGAAAATGAATTGTGTGCAAAGCACAAGGACAGTTTATAGGCTTGTGGAAGAGCATCAAGTGCAATGCCAGTAAGCCTTGAATCAAATGAAGAAGAAACTTAGTGGCCAAGGGAAGGGCAGGGGCTGGAGGAGAGAGAGTGGAAGGTGATGGATGGACTGGAGGGACTCAAGACAGTGTGGCTGCTTGGCCTGGCTCAGCAGGACCATAGATGTCTCCACTGTTTTGGGATTTGTCTTGAGATTACAGGCAGATTCAAGACCAAGAAAGAGCGATCAGGGCAGGTGGAGCAGGGAAGGCAGGAGAGTCCATGGCGGCAGAAGGGATTCAATGACTTTGTTGGTTGTGTCTGTGGAGAGTAGGGAGACATTAAAGTCTATAGGACCTGCTATACAACAGGCACTAAATAAAAGTGGGAAGAAAGAAAAGCTGCAGGTGAAGGAAGGAAGGAAAGAAGAAACAAGAGAGGAAGGGAGAGGGGACACACTGGCCAGGTGGTTTTTCAATGCAGGTGAACTTAGACTGGAACAGAGAAACTTTGTTGGCTGCTGTAATTGTCTTTTGCAAACATTATCCAAAGTCAGCTCACCTAGCTCCTATTAGAACTCCAAAAACTTCAGGAGCAAAACTCCAGGAAATAAGGCATGGCCCAGCCTGGATTTTTACCCCTGTAGCTCTCTGTTCTTACTGTTCCCCAGAGCCAGTGTTCAGCCAATACCTGCTTCCTGCACACAGCTGACACAGGTTGGACCTGGAGGTGCATGGCCCCATCCTCAGGAATGCTGACCCCTGACACTTGTAGTCACAGAGCCCTTTGAGGCAGGGACCACTGCCTCTCCTTTACAAATACAGAACTGTTACTCAATCCGAGAGGTTCAACGAGATCCAAGATCACTCAGCACTCAAGGCAGTGATCTGAGTCTGGAGCCTGGGTTGGAGCTCTGCTTTAAGCTCTTTCCTCTGCACCTCACTGTGTCACACTTGTACATGCTGTGACCTCCCTCTTTCCCTCCCTCCCTCCAGCCTTGGGGTGTGTGGGGGGTGCGGCAGTGTTCCAGAACCTGTCCAGATAGAGGGTAGGTTAAAGAAATCAGTCCTATAAGAGAATGTTTACCCACTCACAAGAGTGTCCTCTTTTGAAAGAGAAGGCCCGGAGGGGACAAAACCGAAATGCCAGGGGAAGAACTGGCTTTGCCAGGGGATTCTGTATGGACTTCTAGCCCCTTAAGTCTGCTCCTCCCAGGAGAGCTCCAGCTGCCTTTCTGGACCTCCCTTGGGGTCTCTCAGCAGTGTTGACCACAAAGGCATTTGCACTCAGCAGGTCTTTCTTGTCAGGGACCTTGGGCACATTGGGACAACAGTGTCATCTCCGTAGATTATACATTTCCCCCCAGGGAGTACTGTTTCCACTCCTACCACACACACACTCTGGCCTTCCCTACTCCCCAAAGGCTGCAGACGCCGAACTAACTCACTAGGTTGGGCAGGTGTCAGCCAATAAATAACTCGGTTTAAGTCAGGAAATAGGTTTTGGGGTCAACCACATGTCAGGCCCCACATGAGAGGCCAGCAGCATATAGAAATTGAGGTCCTGCATGTCCCCTTTACAGGGAAGATGAAAATATAGACACAGTTGCACTGACCTCCTCCTCACCTTAAAGGCTCCCCCAGGGCATGAACCCCCTATGTGTCTGATTCATTGCTCCCTCTACCCCTCCAGGTGTACTGTATGCTTTCCACTGGCTAGTCTTTGTTCCAGTCGATTCACACCATGTAGTGCCTTTCTCCTTCCTTGGTGCTCCCCACTCCCATGTCCAATACCCTATCTACCAAAATCCTCAGTGCTGAGTTCCTGTGCTGCTTTCTCCCTGACATGACATGACATCCCCCTCTTTGGACCTTCATGGACTTTTGTGTGTTCACTCACTCAGGCTCCTGTTACCCTCATTGGTGTTCTGTCTCCCTGCTCCTTCCTCTGCATCCCACTATAATCTGTCACAGGAGTGAGGTCTTACTCAACTGTGGGCTTTGAACTTACCATGTACTTCATATATAATTGTCACGCTGGACGACACAAATTAGACTGTAATCATAGGTCCATCTAGAAAGAAACAACATCAGGAAGGTCTTCCAGGAGTAAGTGACCTACAACTGAGCCTGTAAGAACAGGTGAATCTGACGGGAGAAGCCAATCTCCTTCCCTATTCCTGGCATAAGCTGCCCTACCCCAATCTTGAGGATTCCTGTGAGCAATGGAAGTTGCTATTTCCCTGGAAAAAAGAGAGAAGGATACTGTTGAAATCACTTGGAGTCCAAAGGGATAGCTTGATGCTTCAATACCAGAGCAGCTTTTGACACCATGGTCTGCATTGGATGAGGACCTGGAGTGTCATCAGAAATGGAGCCAGCCCAAAGACGGGGTGGGGGAAGGGCAACGAAGATGCTCCCTTATTTTCTCTTTTGTTTGCGTTCTCTTTTCCTCTTCCCTTCACTCTCCTCTCTCCCTTCCCTGTCCCTCATTTTCTCTATACCCTGTCACTTCCTCTCTGTGCTTCTCGCAGCTGTCCTCAGCCCTGCTGTTTGATGCTGTGTACGCTGTGGTGACAGCCGTGCAGGAGCTAAACCGGAGCCAGGAGATCGGTGTGAAGCCCCTGTCCTGTGGCTCAGCCCAGATCTGGCAACATGGCACCAGCCTCATGAACTACCTGCGCATGGTGAGGAGCGGCTGAGGGCCTGGCCATGCCCAGCCCAAGGGGTGGGATGCCCTGTGCAAGGTGCAAAGATCCGTCAACTGCAGGTTTCCCAAGTAGATCACTGCCTTGATAAAATGTCATCCGTGGCAACCCCAGTTGAGTGGCTCATGGGTCCCTTTTGTTCCTGAATCCTTAACACCCACTGAGCATCCATGGCAAGCTTGTTCCCCAGGCAATGACCTTCAAACTTTTGACTATGAAGGACCCAAATTTCAGGCTTGAAACATTGCCTCTCTGCTCAACTGTGGTCTCAGAACAGCTGGGGAAGGGCTGTGCTGCTGGATCCTATGATCCCTCCAGGAATTGTAGGCTCAAGACCTTGGTGTTTACATATGCAGTTAGGTGTTGGGCCATCCTGACTTCTTACAGGCCTGAATGAGCAGCTGCTCAAAGGGAGTAAGTGCTAAAGGCTCAGGGCCTAGAAGGGCAGAGGGAATTGGCTCAAGTTGGCATCCTAACTGGTATTGGCTTATGCAGTTGGTTTGGGGTGTTGGGTGTGGACCATCCTTCTCCTCAACCCAGATGCTGTGACTGAGAACAGTCAGGAGAATGGGTCTTGATGCCTTCCCTTTCTTGGTCCTCCCCAAGTGGCACATCTGGGGTACTTGCTTGGGACTAGGTGAACATGGGATCTATTTGGTGCTGTAACTCACTCTCTCTTGGACAGGTAGAATTGGAAGGTCTCACCGGCCACATTGAATTCAACAGCAAAGGCCAGCGGTCCAACTATGCCTTGAAAATCTTACAGTTCACAAGGAATGGTTTTCGGCAGGTAAGACTGGCTTTTGTTCCTTTCTCTGTCCCTAGCTCCAGATGATCTCCTGCTGTTGGTTGTCTCCAAAACAACAGGCTGCTTCCTGGGCAAGGCTCTTGGCTTGCACTGGCCTCCCGCTTCCTGCCACCAGATCAGTCAGCAAGGGCCCTCCCAGCAAAATACCAAGAGGAGACAGTGATGCTTAGGGGTGTAAGAGGGGAGACAAGGAGTGTCATTAAGGAAGAGATACCGAGATCTTAGCCAATCTTTTGGATTATTCTACTCCCTGAATCTCACCATAACCCTGTTAGACACCATGGGCCCATTGGTAAGGTGAATGGTGGATACCACATGGGCTGAAGAAGCCCTTCACATTGAAATGCACGGTCTGTTCTCTCCTGTCTGCTCTTCTCCAGCCAATCCACAGCTTCTACTCCATGCCAATCACTCCCCTCCTCTCTTGCCTACTCCCTTCATCTCAGGGATGCTATATCCTTCGTAGCTCCTTTCAGTTCCCTACTTCTTTCCTCATTTTCCTTCATTAACATTCTTGTTTTCCATTTCTCTGATCCTCTCCATTGGAGGGAAACTGGAACTCTGACATCCATTCCACGTGGCTCTCTGAAGGTCTCCCCCACCACCCTAATAATCAACTCCCTTTATCCAGAGCCCTCTCCAACATTAGGAAGGGCTGGAGAAAGGGCTATACTAATTACAGCAGGAAGCAGGTATATAGAAGAGCCTTGTGTCAGAGTGGCTAGACAAGGGAATGCTCAACTGCAGAGCTTGGAAAACCACCCTTCCAGCAGATTAGGAAAAGCCATCATCATCATGTTCACCACCACTGTCATCACCATCACCATCATACTTATGGCAACTCATTTATTAAGCACTTATCATAGACCTCCTACCATGTTAAATATAATACGTATTTAACTCTATAAAATAGGTACTTTTATTAATAACCTTAAAATAGTTATTCATTAGTTTTTTTTACTACAAGTGAGAAAACTGAGGCTTAGGGAGATTGACTTGTTTTGGATCCATATATTTTCTCCTCTAAAGCCCAAACCCTTAACCATCATGGCAAATTAGGCAACAGGATTACCTTGGAAATTTGTTAAAAATCAGATTTTTAGGTTGGATACAATGGCTCATACCTATAATCCTGGCTACTCAGGAGGCAGAGATCAGGAGAATCTCAGTTTGAGGCCAACTCTGGCAAAAAATCTAGTGAGACCCCCATCTCAATCAACAAGTACCTGTGATCCTACCTATGCAAAACCAAAGGTAGACTGTCAGAGGCTAGCCCTGGGCAAAAACATGAGAACCTTTCTGGAAAAAACTATAGCACAAAGGGTTGTGGGGGTGTGGCTCAAGTGGTAGAGTACCTGTCTAGCAAGTACGAAGTCCTGAGTTGCCTATTTTCAGACTCAACCTGCAGGAGTCTGGGTGGATAGGCCCAGGAAAGGGCCTTCTAAACGAATGTCACTGGGCACACACGGCAGTACTGATGAAACCCTCCACTGTAGAGGCCTGTCACATCTGCCTCCTGCCACTCTGTCCCTGCATCCCAGATGGTCCAGAGGAGTTCTTTCTAGGTGGGTAGTGAGTAGGACCCTTCTTGAAGGGTCACCCTTCTTAGAAGACAATAAGGGAAGAAGGAAAGCGTTCCAGACAGTAGGAGATAATTCCTGAGCCCTGGTGCTGTCAGTAGTTCCCTTACCTCTGGGCTGGGGCAATGGTAGAAACTACCTTTTTTTTTTTTTTTTTTTCCATATCTTCTCAAATGGGAGCAAGATCAGGAGGGCAGCCAGAAACTATAGGGATGGAGTATCACAGAATGGCTATCCCATTCATCTAGCAAGTTCATTTACTGAGCATGTAGTATGTGTCAGGCACCATGCTGGGCCTGGTGGGGGGAACAAAACTACAACACATTCCCTGATCAGAAAGAGCTTACAGTCAGTCTAGTGTGGGAGGGTGACACACAAGAAAAGAACTGCAGTTTGGGGCTATTCGACTCAAATCAGGCCTTGAGGCTCAGCATCCCTGCACAATAAAGCTGCCCACCTACAGGGGTATTGTCAGGGTCACCTCTCCCTCACCCCAAGCCCCAGTCTGCTTGGGAGACATGAAGTGAAGAACATTCATCCACTGTTGCAAGTTAAAACTAGTTGGGCACCTTCGATGTGCTGGTCTCCCTCCTAGATGAAGGTTTTTAAAAATAGAGAAAGTATCTGCTTTTTTGGAGCATACATCCTAGTAGAGGATAGGTGACAGGCAGAGAAGTACATAATAACATTGTGTCTTGGAGGTAAGCGCTCTGAGAAAAAATACAACCAGTTAAGGCAAGTGGGTAGGAAGCAGAAGTTAGGAGAACATAACCCCCCTCCATAGATCCCCACTCTGGCCTTTGCAAAACTCCCCGTGGACCTCCATCTTGCTCTATGAATGGGGAAACAGTTCACTTCTGGTATCCTTTCCGTCGAGTGTCACCTGCCATCTCTGACCCTCCACTTCAGACACCACTGATTTGGCTCTAAGTTCCTCTTCACCTTCATTCTGCTTCTACATTAGCTGCCACTCAGGCTGGCTTTTAGCAGCTGTGAGGCCACAGGTTTGCCTGGGTTATTAAGAATCACCATCATCAGCCCCCACTTCCATCCTGGCCAAGACCAGAGCATCTGCACTGAGGCTTTCCTCATAGTGGTTGCTGCCCCTTCATCAGCAGTGCCCACTAGCAGTATAGGACAGATTTCTCAAATGTAAGTGTGATCAAGAGTGACCCATAGTGCTTGCTTTAAAATATGCATTCTGCTCCAGGCACAGTGGCTCACACTTATAATCCCAGCTACTTGGGATGAAGAGGTTAGAAGGACAGCCTGGACTAAAAGTATGAGACCTTTTCTGAAAAATAACTAAAGCAAAAAGGGGTGGGAGTGGAACTCAAGTGGTAGAGCACTTGCCTAGAAAACATGAGGCCCTGAGTTCAAAACCCCAGTACCAACAAAAAACAAATGTATTCCCAGACCCTCCTTCCACCCAGCTATGCACTGTAACAGCAAAACTGGGGACATCCAGGAATCTGCTAGTTTAGCTAGCAGGTTAGAATGTAGGTAGTCATTCTAGGGCAAATCCTGCTCTAGAAGAAGAGTGTTCTGTGTGTAGAATTTCTTATTTGGCTTCCCTGTGGCCTACTCCATTTTTTTTAAATGGAATTTGCCACACAAGTGACCATTAAACAGGATGGTCTTTTGACCTTGGGTTACCCTAAAGGACACACACTGCTGAATGAATTTAAAAGTGAAGACGAGAATCCTCTTTGTGACCCATTTTTCTTCAAGTCTGGTGACTGTCCTATTGCTTTTCTGTCTGGTCCAGGTGCTGTGAGTACCTAGTGGAAACTGTGTGATATATCACATGCACAGATGTAGCTTCGCAGGGCTGGTCCCCAGGTCCCATCCCAATCACAGCCCAATCTCTGCCTCTTGACAGGTGTCCTTGCCCTGCTTATTGCACGATGAAGAAATGGTTTAGGGAGGGATAATTAATTGGGCTTCTCTTCCAGGGTGGGAGGAATGTCAGTATCTCCGCTCTGATATTCTCACAAGCCCACCCGGCAGGGGAGTGGAAGTGACACGGAGCAGGGAAATGTCTTTTGGGGACCTTCCATGTATAGACACCACTCAGCACATTGCACAGATCACTTGCAGTCTGGAGGACAACCCTTCAAGGTACATCAATGGCAATAACCAAACTCAAGCTCAGGGAGGGTAAGGAACTTGACCAAGTCCTGCTGAGTGGAATTCTCACTCAGGTTGGTCCAACTCCAAAATCCATGCTCTGAACTCTCCCTTGTTAAGCTTTTCCTCACTTCGCTGAGTTCCCTAAGCCCCCAAAACAAAACCTCTTCTCCAGGTCTGTTGCCACCTGCTTCAAGCCAGGATGGTGCTTGGTTCTGATGACCTGCTGGGCTGGGCTTTCTTTAGTAATGGCATCTTCTCATTTGGGTTTGGTTTTATTCTTTCTCTTCTGTCTGGGAGAGTGATATTAAGAGCAAGTTTTGATTATTTAGAAAGCACCACGCAGGGACCCAGTAGGTTGTAATTGGTAAAATGTCTGAACCAAATACCATATTCCCTGCCAGTGGCTGATTAAAGGATTATTACCATTTTAAAAATAGTCTTTCAGAACTCAGGGTTATTTTTTACCATTTGAAAAATTACTATTTTGATTCTGCCTAGAGAGTGTTTTCTGTCTTGGGACTCTGTGGCACTTCTACTGGAGCATATTTGGTGGAACGTGACCCCCGTTATGACCTGTATGTGACACTCTGAACCTGGACCATTTCCTGAGTGTTTATTTATAATGAGCCAGTAGCATTGCCTCAGTCCATCTGTCAGTTTCTTCCCATGTGAGATCACCATTCTCATCCCATATTCTCCCTTCTCATCTCCCCAAAAATCTTCTGGGTAGTGTTAGGATGGGTCTCCCTTCCTGTCTGGGAAAAGTCCTTTCTGAAAGAGACTGGGAGATTCCCTAGCAGGAGGCAGAAATCAGGAGGATTGCAGTTCAAGGCAAGCCCAGGCAAAAATGTTAGCAACATCCTATCTCAACAAGCCAGATAGTGACACACATCTATAATCCCAGTATATAAGAGAGTCAAGGTCAGAGCTAAACTGGGCAAAAGCTGTAAGACCCTATCTGCAAAATATCTCAAGCTATAAGGGATGGGGGGTGCGACTCAAGTGATAGAATGCTTGCCTAGCAAGCCCAAGGACCTGAGTTCAAACCCCAGTAATGACAAAAAAAAAAAAAAAAAAAAAAACCCCAAGCACAGCTTTAAAAGGCCCTTAATTTCCTTCATTTAACTTGATCTAAAGATCAAAGGTTCTGAGCAGCCTCGAGCGACTTTGTTTGTTAGTGCTGTAATAAGATGAGCGCACCTTTCATGTGTGGATCGGAAGTGGCTTAACAGGCTCTAATTAAGCCTTTGGGGTTTGACATCCCTGGTG